CCGAAATAGATACGCTGGTAATTTCCAAGGCCGACCCAGCAGACGAGAGTTCATAATTTATAATAGATCAGGATCTAGCTGCTCGTGATACCTAAGCGGAGAGTGACCGAAGCAGAGGCCGGGGTGGGGGACATCGTGCTGCTGCTGATGCTAATGTTGTTGTTGCTGCTGCTGCTACTTCTACTACTTCCGCTGATGATGATGCTGCTGCTGCTGCTGCTGCTGCTGATAATGATGATGATACTACTGCTGCTGCTACTCCTGCTGCTGTTGCTGCTACTGCTACTACTGCTACTGCTGCTGCTGCTGCTGCTACTGCTACTGCTGCTACTGCNTAAAACCAGAAAAGGATGGACAATGGTGCATACTGTAGACTTATATGTCAAAACGAGTGAAAATAATGGCTGCAGTTATTTGAATAAGCTAAGAATAATATATGAACCCTGTGTATTTCAGACACAAAATCAAATTACGAAGAATGTACAGATTGTAATCAGATAATAATAAAAACATAGCAATTTGTATAAAATCTTAAAGATTCTGGTCATCTCAATTTCTGTACAATGAATGTCATTAGCTGACAGTGGAATCTCTGCATTATAAACGACTATTAAGTGGGAGCAAAACATGAAGACAGCTCTATAAGTGAAACCGTGTATAAAGGAATCTATAGAAAAGACTATACTTTGGCGAGCACAATGTTCTGTAAACCATCGTTTTAAAAATCTGTGTTATAACGGATTGTGTTATAATGAGATGCAACTGTAATTTTACAGTATATATTGGTAGACAAATTCCATTATCCTTGCATGTCGTTTTTTCAATCGCTGGATACCACAGAAGGCATTGCATTGCATAATGCACAGGCAACAAACACCACTTTGTCAAGAGTTGTCACATTTGTGTTTCCCTGGCACTGTAACATTCTGATAGGAATAATGCTCTTCAACAAAGTATACTTTTTCCTGAGGTTGCCTATTACTCTTTCTACGTGTATGCGAACAGATGCTATGGCCCTAGTGTTTTCAACCTCGACGGCATCAAGTTGACTTTTACCTCGAGTAAAAGCGGGGATTTCCAGGCACGCTCCCTTCACTGCTACAGAATCTTCAATGTCGAAGCCACGATCAGCCAGAACTGTGTCCCCCGGTAACAAATAATCTAAGTAGGCTGACTGTTCGGTAAGAAATTTATCAGAAGTCCTGCCACCCCAACCCTTCGAAATAAAAGATATGTGACCCTGGGGAGTAATGCTTATTAAAAATTTCACAGTGTTGTGGCTTTTATATTGCGAGTATGTTTGTGCACGAGCCCTTAAATCTGCTGGACGCTCGCAAAAAATTTCAAAACAATCGATGATTGAGACGCAATTTTTGTACTTTGTGCGGAAGCAAACTGGAAGAGTGTGCCTAATGATATCTTTATCAGGCCAGTAAATCAGAGCTGGGACTACATAGGCATACATTTTATCAAGGCCGTCCAAAAAAATTCTAGATACACTCGACTCATGCATATTAAATAGGTAAGCCAAAAACTGGTTGCTTAACCCATGCCTCATCCGCATCAGAACTAGTAAAAACTGCTGAACTTTAGATATTTTGCATTTATCAGATAAATGATCATCTATTAAGCTGAAGACAGCCATGAACACCGAAAATTTAGGCAGTCCTGTCAAGTCTTTGACCTTGGAATCATTTCCTTCAAGAGTTTTTGCGTCAAAACTACAAAATTTTAATTTTGTTTTCAACGCCAAGTTTTCTTCCCTTAGTTTTTCATTATCAGAACCAACAGAATATAGGAAGGAGCCACTAATTTCAGTTTGTGTTGAAATATGCAACACACCGTCATCATTCTGTAAGTCCTCATAGTCTGTCGCACTTTCAAATTGTTGTGGGGTCGGCGTGATATCTGAGAGTTCCAGGAGAGCTGCAGCAGCCGTTGACTGGTTTGCACTGTCAATTTTTCTTTTCTTCATAGCCTGTCGTCTATTGAAATCATCAAGGGCTTTCACTTTTCTTCGCTTAGCTGGAGATTTTACATATGCGAAAATACTTGGAACAAAGTCTGGTGAGAGCGCATGGTCACTTTTCTCCCCTGAAATAAGGAAGATGGAGAAGGAAGAACGACGGAGAGCGATCGACAGAGACGAAGAATGGCGGTGAGTGAGACGGGAGGAACAGAGCGAGACGCGGGAGAGAGAACGGTGGATATGCACACGGTTGAGAACTATGTGAGTAA